GGAATATATATTAATATAATATAAATATATAATATGAATTAAAATTATATGTATATAAAAAATTAATACAAATACATGCTACAATTAATTTTATTATTAAATTGGATTAAATAAAATGGTGATAATTGATCTTACTTATATTTATTACTATCGGTTTGTTTGGACCAACGTTAGATGTTTTTTTTTTAATGTTTTTAAAAATAAAAATGAATATCTATTTTGATATATTTCAATATATAATGTAATAATTTTCTCTTTTTAATCTAGTCTATTATTTTTATTAATTTTGTGTTTGTCCACTTAAAAGTATCAAATTTATATTATAACAAAAATAATTTATATTTATATATATCGAAATAATTTTAATTTTTTTATTAAAATAAATTGTTTTCAATTATAGTAAAGTAATCGCATATAAATATTAAAATATTTTTAATTTTTACAAAAATATTTATACCTTTTATAATTTCAAAAGCAAAATTTTTAAAATAATCTTTTATTGGGACGAAAGAAGTAGTACTCCCTATGTTCGGCTGCAAGGTTGTCTTTGGCTTTTTGCATATTGATTTTTGAATATTAATTATTATATCAAGATCTAGTACAAATCGGAAAAAAAAAACAAGAATATATTTATTAGTCTCTGATAATACCAATACAATGATATTTTTAGAGTAAATTATTCAAATATAAAGATATTTTTAATGTCAAGTGTAATGACGCAAAAATCAAATGACAACCTTACTGCGGACAAAGGAAATAAATAGATTTATATATTACTTTCAAATACAAAAATTATTATTTCTTCATTTTCAACTAAAAGTATTTGTTTATCATTTTTTTTTTCATTCAAAAATATATATTTTAACTTTTTATACAATTACAATTAATTTATATATAAAGTATAAAAAATAAAAATATCAAAATTATTATGCACACCATCAGCAATCAATAAAATATTAATATTATTTATTTATCTACTAGAAAACTCCAAAATACTATTTTTAAGTTGAGACGGGGACTAGTTCATAATAGTAGAGAGGGGATCCTCGGCCCCCTTGCGGCCGAACTCCCGATGCCCCCTCTAATAAAATTGTGTATATATATATATATATATGTGCAGTATTTATATAGGATACTATTTTGGTTCATTGTACTTATCATTAAGAATATATTTATATGTGTATAATTTACTTCAAAAATATTATTGTATTTATATTATAAGAGATTAATAGATGTATTTTTATTTTTTTCTTTTTATTTATACTATATTTTGATATAATAATTAATATTAAAAAATCAACAAATAATAATATATATATTTTGAAGGAAGCCAGGCAGCAAGGGTTGCTCATCCTTTCAGTCTTGGGTCAGATGACTCATTTTGTAGGGATACGGTATTTTAGGTAATATAGATTAATAAATTATGATATTATTTTATTATTTTTTATATGAATATAGTTGTTGATTTTTTAATAATTTTAGCATATATCTCAATAAAATATATATAATATGTATATCATTGTGCACATAATAAATATTTATTTATTTATAATTAGTTTATAAAAAATAAAGAGTTGTAAATATAATTAATGATATTTAGTTATTAGACAGAGAAAAATATAAAAGTTTTAAATAGTTACTGTATGTAAAATATTATAAATTTAATTAAATTTATTTATATTTATTAATTATGTGTAATTATTTTTCCACGCTTTAAAATGAACGGCTTAAAAGAAGTCAACGGAAATCCAAAATGCAGAAAAATGGGGCTAACTGTCAATTTGTTGCATTATTTAATTTAGAGAGAGAGAGAGAGAGAGAGAGAGAGAGATAGAGAGAGAGAGGCCCTTTGCATCAACTTATTAATCAACTCTATTCCTAATTTGTTAGTCATTATGTCCATTTCATTGTCATTTTAAAAATAAAATAAAATACTCCCGTAGTCTCAGAACTATAGTCTTAATTATGTTGAGTATGATATTTAAAAAATATTGATATTATATTAATAGTTGGTAACAAAATATAAATAAAAAACTTTTTTTGCCCTTGTGAGTGTATTAGTGTAAAAAGTAGTGGCAATTGTGTAATAAAAATGAAAAAATAGGGATAGTTTTATGGTGATATGATTGTTTATGGAAATAAGACTATTGTTTTGAGACGGACAAATAAAATAAACAAGACTATTGTATTGGGACAGAGAGAGTATATAAACCATCAATACAATATATATTAATATAGATGATTTTGGTTTTTTATTTTTATGTCTGTTCAGTTATTTCGTTTAGTTAACGTTATATCAAAGTTATAGGTCTCGAGTTCGATTCTCATCGACCCTATTTGATATATTTATGTACAAATTCTGTATATCTCTACTTGCACCTAAGAAGACATATTGGGGACTTCCGTATGTTAGAGAAAAATAAATCATGACGCATATTCCTAATAGCTTAAACTTTTAGGTGGAACGATCATTATGCTCATTTAACACGAGAAAAGATGATCCGTTTTATGTTTGATAAATTTATCAATCTTAACACACTAAACACATAATTTAAATTTATTTTAATCATATATAATACTCAATCCGTACGGCTCTAAGTGTCTCATTTACCTTTTGCACAATTGTAATTAATGTTAAAAAATATTTTTATATTTGTATAATATTTTGTACAAATGTCCTTCTATTAGTATTATAAAACACTAATAGAAGTATTTTTTTTTAATTTATACTACGTTTTGATATAATAATTAATATTCAAACATCAACACGCAAAAAATAAATGAAACCCTTAGTGTCGGACAGAGGTAGTATAATTCTATTACACACAATCATTAAATAACTAATTCATACTATCTAAAAATTTAATCTATAATACTTACATTCTCATACCTAAACAAAAAGTGTCATTTTTAGCGGGATGGAAAAAAATATAATTAATCCTCCCTCCGTTCTGACACAATAGTTTTATTTACCATTTTTGTCTGTCGTAAAACAATAGTCTTATTTCCATAAATAACCATATCACCATAAAACTACCTCCACTTTTTCATTTTTATTACACAATTGCCACAACTTTTTACACTAATACACTCACAATGGCAAAAAAGTATTTTTTACCAACTATTAATATAATATCAATATTCTTTAAATCTCGTGTCTAACCGAATTAAGCCTATAGCTCTGAGACGGAGGAAATATAATTATATGTAATTATTTTCAAAGCATAAGTAATGAATAAAATAAAATATAATAAAAAGCAACACTCTAACTCATTTCATTAATATAATACTATGAATAAATACATAAATTAATAACAAAAGAGAAAAACTTATACATAATATACTACAATTAATTTTGATATATAGGATAAATTAACACATCACATTATAAAATAAAACAGACATCATATATTGCTAATTAATTCAAGCCATATGTTGAGAGGTCATATTTTATCTATTGATTAGTACTAATAAGCACCCCAACTATTCATCCTATTTTTTTTCCTCAAAAATATCAAATCAAACACCTATTTTTTATTTTTTATATTATACTCCCTCCGTCTCGATACAATAGTCTTGTTTACCATTTTTCTCTATCCCAAAACAATAATCTCATTTCCATAAATAATCATATCAGTATAAAACTCCCCTTACTTTTTCATTATTATTACACAATTGTCACTACTTTTTACACGAATACACTCACAAAGGCAAAAAAGTCTTTTACTCGTACTTTTTACATACTACAAATATAATATCAATATTCCTTAAATCTCGTGTCAAATACAACTCAAACTATAGTTTTGAGACGGAGGAAGTATTAAATATATTAGTATTTTTATAGATTTGTAGTATAATAGGGTAGTGTAAATCTACTTTACCCTCGACATTATGTGAAATTTTAAAAATAAAGACAATAAAAAAGAGATATTTAACTAAGATATATTTTTACTTCAAAAAAAAAAAAGAAGGAAACAAATAAATTTGATTAAGACAAACGAAAATGACAAAAATAGATAACCTTGATTCATACGAAAATATTATTGATTAATCGAAGTGTAGAAGATGACTTTTTATTTTTTCCATTTGTCCTTTATGTTAATATTTCATTGTATTTAAATAAAGATAAAAAAATATTTTAGTATTAATTTATAATTATTTTTACTATAAGAAAAAATTAATACTTTTAAGTAAATATACAAAAATAATAAAAATTGTACTAATATAATTAATTTTCTAAGATAAAATGTATACTTGGGGTGTGCTTGTTTGGGGGTTTGGATTTTGAGTTGGGATTTGAATAGTAAAAATTTTGAATTTGGATAGCTGTATGATGTGATATAAATAGACGTTGATGTGATATTTTGAATGTAAAATTGATTTTTAATACTAGTTATTTGTCTTCATAGCATTTTATTATTTATTTAAAATTATTTTATTTGTACTAGTTATTAATTATAAATGTTAATTTTAATATATGTAATTTTTAAACAAAATATAAATTATATGTTTATGGATTATAATGTAAAAATAATTAAAGTTGAGATATAATTTATAAATATAAAAAGTTATATAAAATAATATAAAAAATATATATAGAAAATATACCTTTTGAAGTAAAAATTAAAGTTTATATAGTTGAAATAAAAGTATTATAAATCAACTGTAGCAATTGCAAAAATGGAACGACGGATTAGATATTGACTGAAAAAGTCCCCTCAAAATAAAATTTGACTGTGAGTTACTCAAAACACAGTCCAAAGGTTTCCACGTCATAAATAATAATAATAATAATAATAATAATAATAATAATAATAATAGTCGTGTGGTTGTGTGGAAAAGCAACAACACAGATTCAAAAGCTGATTTATGCACCAGTGTAAATTGAACTTCATCTGTCCCGAACAAACTCATCCCCCAGCAGCTCCCAGGATCTCAAATCCAGAAAACACTACAACCGCAAGCAGTAGAACAAAACATTCCAGATTTCCAACATAGTCCAACTCCGGGACCTTCCACAAATATTCCCCAAAGATAGCCAAGATCCCGGGCAACCCTGAGTTCCTATTGGCTGCCCCATTTCCACCACCACCACCTCTCTCTCTCTCCTACACTTTCTCACTCTAAACCAACCCTCCACAGCCCTCCACCACCACCACCACCACTTCGAACTCAATTCTTGAACACCCTTTTCACCTTTAAGGATAGAGAAACAATGATAAAGTTATTGCACGCAAAAAGGTAACTCTCCTCATATCATATGATCCACTAAAATCTACACTCTTCATTGCACTTTTTCTTCATCTTTCTCCCTGTCCTTAATCGGGTACTTATCTGTACTCCCTTCAATATTCTTGTTTTTTCTTTTTTTTCTTTTTTTAAAAGGGTCTTATCTTATCTTCATCGAACCACTATTAGTGTGTGTGTGTGTGTTTGATTGGTTGATCCATGTGTCTTTTCTTGATTTAGGGTTCTTTTAAAATTAGATTTCTGAAACAATCCAGAATCCAATTTCTGTTCTCAGATCTGAAATTCTGAGAAAGCCCAGAACCCCTTGATATTCGGGCCGGGTTTTGAGTTTGATGAATAACAGCAGCGGCCGTGAAGAAGACCGGAAACAAACGCAGCAGAATATGCAGACCGGGTCCGGTCTGACCCGGTACCGGTCCGCCCCGAGCTCCTACTTCTCCGAGCTGTTGAACAGCCCCGCCGGCGGATTCGGAGCCGACGACTTCGCGCAGCTTTTTAATCCACGCGCCTCCAGCCCCGAGACTCAGAGAATCTTCTCCAGATTCATGAATGGCTCCGACGACGCCGACGACAACAATTTCCCCCCCAATACGACGTCGTCCTCCCAATTCCTCTCGCCGGCCAAGCCCGAGCTCGATCACGCGCCGCCACCGCCGCCGCCGCAGAGTAACGACTATTCTTATCAAACCAAGCCCTGGCCGAGCTCGTTTACCCAATCGCGCGTAGGCCAGATCAAATTAGAAGCCGCCGCCGCCGCCGGCGGCGGCCTGATTCGGCATAGCAGCTTGCCCGTTGGATTCTTGGCCAACGTAAACGTCGAATCTGGTATTTCCTTTTTCGGAGTGCACGATTTTGTTCACGTGTCGATTCTGTTTATAGAAATTTTTATCCTTTTTTTGGTAGTTTGAGAAATTGTAATAATCCGACATTGATTTGCATTCGCCGGAAATAGAAAAACAGGCCATAGCAGCTGTCGTTAAAATTAATTGTTTTGCTCTTCACAGAGTTTGAAACGACGAGAGAAGCATCGTTTTCCACCGCCGCCAGATTCAATTCCCAAATCGACTTCTCCTCTTCTTCCGGCGGCGGCGGCGGCGGCGACAATCCTCGCCCCGACGACGACGGAAGTCGCGGCAACGAGGACAGCTACATTGCGGATTACATCAATTTTTGGGAAGATTCGGACAATTTCCTCGAAACAATTGTCGATACTAAGGAAATTAAACCGTGTCCGAGCTCGAATGATCAGGTCGATTTCTCGATTGTTATGGTGATAACGAAGTTTACGATTCATGGGATTGATCGAATGCGATTAAACAGGGCAATGAAGGTCCGAGGAATCACTCCGGGACGATGTTGTCTCATCATCTAAGCCTCCCTAAAAGGGCATCGGCTGAGCTATCGATGGAAAAGTTTCTTCAGGACAGCGTCCCATGTAAGATTAGGGCAAAACGTGGCTGCGCTACGCATCCACGAAGCATAGCCGAAAGGGTAATAAATCGTCGTTGATTTTAAGATACATCACATGTTATGTCTACGACATTCGGATTGAGTTTTTGTCTCTGTCGCGATTGTTTTTTCAGGTGAGGAGAACAAAAATCAGCGAGCGAATCCGGAAGCTGCAAGAACTCGTGCCTAATATGGAGAAGGCGAGTTTCTAAAGCTCTGATTACTTAAATAATATTTGAATGTGATATTTTATTACATAAAGGCAAAATTGTCCATAACTTTGTTATGGTTTCGAAACTCACGGTGATCTTCGTTTACTTTAAAAATTGGATAGTACTCCCTTATACTTTAAAAAGTATTGAACGAAACACTTCTATGGTTTTGAAACTCAACGTAAATCCCCACTTTACTTTAAAAAATTGTATGATGCCCATTATATTTTAAAAAATATTACATGAAACTCCCGCCGCAATGCAGAACATATAGATAAGAATTATCTTGTTATCACACAAGAGAAGTTACATGGTGGTGGGGTTTCACGCAACGTTTTTTAAAATATAAGGAGATATTACGCTGAATTTCGAAACCACATGAGAGTTATAAGCAATTTGACCTGAAACAAAACAAATCATTTGATCCGATCATTCTAATCCTATGTTGTTGTCACAACTTTGCAGCAAACGAGTACTTCGGATATGCTCGATTTAGCCGTCGACTACATTAAGGATCTGCAGAAACAAGTGAAGGTACGTATATCTTTTGTTGGTTGACTCCTGTATAAATAAAAATAAATAGATAATATATATATTTTAAATTTAAATTTTTAGGTGAAACGAGTAATTAAAATTCTTCAATGGAAGTCTGTTTTGAATTTTTTTTTTCTTTAATTCAAAGTTTATCGAAAGATTTGTCCAAGGGTACACAAACATAATTGTAATCATTTTATTGATTGGATATTTCAGACACTTTCGGACAGCAAAGACAAGTGTTCCTGCCCTGCTAAACACGCATAAGGTTTTTATCTGTAAGTAAGTTACACTAGGCAAATTCTGTATATGATATATTCTATTGAAGGTGGATCGATTGGACATAATTTCACCTTTGACATCAACTTTCTCTATCTTAGTGTGCACTGTCGGGTAGCAGCTGCGAATTCTCATGTTATTAAAAAATTAAAGAAAAAAAATGATTTGATTTGATTTAATGATGTTAACAACCATGGAAATGGAGACAAATTTTTATTGATTATTGGTAATTGGTTTATTGTGGAAAATTAAGGGTTCTTAGAGTTGCTCTTGTTCTACATATATTAATCTAAATATATATTTATGTGGCCTATTTATTCTTTGTGATTGGGAGATTTTTGTGCATTTATTTCTTTTATTATTAAAATGTATGTACGTATTTTAATGAAAATGTTAGTAATTTAATTTTTTATTTTTATAATAAAAAATACTAAAAAAAAATTATGTTTTTGCTAATAAGAGAAACTAAAATATATATTTAGGAGAATTCAAAAAGAAAAATATTCATAAATTTAGAGGGAGTATTTTTTTTCCCAATATTATTAAATTAAATTATTTAATAGTACTACATATTATATTATATTATTATAATATTTCAAATTAAAATAATACTCCGTATATCTTAAATTTAATATTTATAATAAATAATTAAATATATATTCTTTTAAATAAACAACTTTAATGGAACAAATAAATAATTATTTATGAATTTATTGAAGTTGCCTTTTCAGCAAATTAGGAAATAAATTGGTGACTACCTTTTTGAAATATAAAATTGAACGTGAACCGACAGTGCATAATATATACGAGTAAAAACAGATATTATATTTTATGAAGATAAACAAACAAGTCAACAAAAAATATATATATATATATATAAATTATATTAATATTATTTAAATACAATACACGAAAATTAATTACATTTAAATTATATTAATATACCTAAATATTAATATTAACTTTTTTGTTAGTGTTAAACCAAGAAAATAAAAATCTTATTTACATATAAGTAATTTATTAATAATAAATTATGATATCTGTACTTTATTAGTATTTTAAAAATATAAATTAGCATATATGATTCAAAATTTTAAAAAATATACATTTAAATATTTTCACCATTATAACTGAATAAAATATATATTTATCTATTTATAATTCATTTAAATTGATTTTATAAGAAAATACTCCATTTGTCCGATAAGTAAGTATCCATTTGCTTTTTCATGTAGTTTTAGAAACATTAATATTATATTGAGATATAGTAGGAATAAAGTAGAAATGACTAAAATAACGTGTGATATAAATGTAATAACATTTGTGTAATATATTGTAAGTCGTAAAGATATTTGTAATGTTAAACAATTACTAAAAAAATAAAATTGATAATTTGTTATGAGACGGATTAAAATGGAAGAATGAATACTTTGTTTGAGGACGGAAGGAATAAAAAAATTTAAATATCTATAAAAATATTTGTTTACTTAAAAAATAATAGAAATAAAAAGATTTTGAATAAATTATATTTAAGTTATAAATTTAGTTAAATTTATTTATATTTGTTAAATAAATGTATAAATTTATTTGAAATAGGAAAAAAAAAATCATTTATTATGAAATAAAAAAAATAAATAAATAAAAGTTAGGAAGAAGAAACCTATTTTCCAAAAATAAAATACTCCTATAGTAATTAAAGTATTACACATTTTTTCCCTCCCATATATTAAATTTTGAAATTCAATTATGTCTCCCTTTCCAATACAAACATCGCAATACACAAAGTGAACCTTTCTCCCAAAATTCCTCCGCCATGGATTCCGACGGCGACGAATCCGCCTTTCTACCGTCGGCGCTTGTCTCCCTAACGTCAATGGTGTCTCCGTCTCTGCGCCGCCTATCCAGCTGTTTCACACCGCCGAAGAAGCCGACCGTGAGAGCCAAGCCGCAGCTGGCCTGGGTGTCGCTCCAGGGACGGCTGATCGGAGCCGAGGAGGCGACGGCGGTGTCGAGCATTGACGCCAATGGCGTGCTCAGTACGGAGGCGGCGGCGGCGTGGGAGCTGTTTACCCCTATTCAACGCGTCCTGATTGTGGCCGTTGTCGCGGCGGCGGCGGCGAATTCGAAGAAGAATAAACAGATTTTTCAGCTGCAGAAATCTGTAGAAGTTAGGGTTAGTAATTCCTCTTTCGATTTCTGATTTTTTAGCGCAATTTCTTCATTTAATTCTTCTGTTTGCGACATTTTTTTTGCTACACTATCGGAATTAGGGCTTAATTTATGAGACATGAAATTTATATCTACTGCCTGATTTCTGCCATTGATGAACTGTCCAGTGTATTAAATTCGTCGATAATCTTCCATTTCTCTCGAATTCAAAATTTAAATACCAAATCCAACAAAAATCATAAATCAATTTGTTGGAGATTCCAGGCTTGAACACGATCTTCCTATTTTATTGCATACCTAAATTCTTCTGAATATTGTAGCAGTTCATTTCTTAAAAAATTGATGCAATCATGCCAAGACTTCAGTGTTCATTCCAATTAAATAGTTGTTGAATGTAATCTTTTATTCGTTCATCGATTTATTTTTAAAAAATTTGTTGTTTGAAGAACACAGAATCGAAACTAAGATGGCTACTCTGTTTTAGGATCAAGTGCTGTTAGAAATGCAACAAAAATTGGACACCATATGTGATCAGTTGAATCATTCCCGGGATCAACCAGAAGCCGTGCTTCCAAATTTCGAACACGATTGTAAGCCCGGTGTAAATCATCACTTGCAGACTAATGATTTCATGGTAACATACGATTGATTGATCTGATTTTTTTATCCCGGTACAATTGTTCCAAATTTTATTGCATCAACAAATATCTTCGTGTGCATATAGGCGACAAAAGGATCAAACTACGACGAATGCTTAAAGTACAAAACGCCGTCAATCGCCAACGAAGCTGAACCAGAGGAGCGCCGGATGTCTGATTTATCCGATTGGGCGCCGAGCATTGCTTCTTCAATTGACATTCAGGTTTGTCTCTACGACTTCGATCTCTTCCGTAGTTGAATCTTAGGTTACAAAGACTTGTAAGCTTCTTGCAGATGGATAATTCGGTAAACGAGCACGAATACAATGCCCTGATAAAGGAAAACCTCGACAAGGACGTCGCCATTAAAACACTTTCTTCGTATATCCAATCTTCGGATGCTTTAGCTTCTAAGGTAACAATCTTTTTCTAGCTTGTTTTGCTCCGTTTACACTTTGTTTAGCTTTCTTTAGTTTTCGTTTCCACATTATTGAGATATTTTAAATATTTAATTTATGATTTAAATTGGCGAAATTGCCCATAACTCTGCTGTAGTTTCTAGACTCAACGTTTTCTGTACTTTAAAAATTGTATGGCGCTATACTTTAATAAGCTTATTTTTTTTTATGTGACAAGATGATTTTCTGTATTATTTGCATGAAGTAAAGCGAAGGATGATTTACGCTGAATTTCAAAATTATAGGAAAATTATGGTCAATTTTGCCAATTAAATTTCTATTATCTAAGTCGTTATTATTAACACAGAGGATAGTCGAATTGGAAGATCTCATACGGCGCAAGAATATGATCATCAACAAACTACGAAAGGATGCAATAATTCTCGAACAAAAGGTATCGTAAAATTACCGAGCTTTCGAAACAAGTTTCAACTTTTCTATTCTTCGGTGTAACGTAAAACACAATCAGGTGATGAATTTGATGAGACTCCGGCGAAAATCATTCATGGCGTCGAGTTCTAAGTCGCCGCACGTTCCCATGCTAACAGACAACGTTCTATTCGACATGGACAGCACCACCGGCCCTTCGTCTTCCGACTCCGACGACTCCTCCAATAGAAGACAGGCTCTGTCTTCGAATCGAATGATCGAAGAAGGTTTGATAAATGGCCTCGACTTGAGTCGAGTTACGAGCTCTACTTCGATGGATCGGAATCGAAGTTCGACTACAGGTTCTAGAACAAGTCGAGCGACGACAATGTTGGGCGGAAGAGAAAGTTGGAGCGAGAGACGATTTCTGGAGAAGTCGAAGGAAGTGGTTGTGCATAAGAGGTGGGTTTGATTCGATCGTAATCGAAGAATTTGAATTCGGTATTTATCCAAAGAAGAATGTTTCATTTGGCAAGTTTTATGTTTCATCAATTTAATGTTTTGGATATAACCTTGGACAAAATTGAATATGTTAATTTATACTAATCATCGAACTTTTATCCTTAGGCTTTTTTTTTTCCTAATATTTTCTCTATACATATTTAATTCTGTTTTGAGTTTGTTTGATTATGATTTAAAATAAAAATATTGATTTGATTTTTAATTTAAATAGTATTTTAATTTGATATTTTTGTAAAAATATGTATATTATTGAAACCTGTGAAAAAAAAAATAATTAAAATATTAAGATAAAAAACTTAATTGTAGTTAAAAATTATTGAGACTTTTGTTAAATCCATATTGTGAGTTTTGCTATTGAAGTAACTCAATTGGTTGTATACATTCATAACGTGTGTACTTTATATATATATATATATATATATTCTGATTTTGCTATGGGATCAGATTTGTAGTATCAAAAGACTCTCACGTCATTTCGCCTAGTGTGATTTTTTCATCGGACCAGATTTATAAGGTATTAGGTTCGATTGGAGATTTATCGAGTGTACACTTTCGGGTAACAGTTGCGAATTTCTACGTCTAAAAAAAAAAAAAAAACTTTAAATGATACAGAATAAATAGGTGTGAAAGTTGCTGATCAAATATCGATTAGGTTAACATTATCATCAAAATGCTTTCAGTCTCATCTACATCATCACTTATTGAGCGTATAAGTATACAAGCGTGTATTTTATACATACATATGTGTATTTGTATACACACACTATACGACGATATAGATGAAGTGTGTGAGTTTGATTGTATATGTGTATTTGTATATACACAGATGAAGCGTGTGGGTTGGGTCGTTGATATGATCTCGCTTTGGAATCAGATCAACTGAATCAAAACACTTTAGGTCTCATTGGCATAATTACCTATTGGATGTATACAAACACACAAGTGTATGTATACACCCAATATATGATTATGAGGATGGTGTGAGGCTGTTGATCATATCTTGCTTTGGGATCAGATTAACAATATCAAAAGACTCATGGCTTAGTATGCATTATCACCCATTGGATTTATACATATACACATGTGTATGTACAAAATTACTTTATAAAATCATATGGGTGTACTTTTTATATATATATATATATACACAATAAATAATGATGTTGATGGAGCTAGATTCACACGTATGTATGTATATATATACTCAATAAATGATGATATAGATAGGCTAGCATGGAGGTCGGGATGCCGATTTGAGACCAGAGCAGGATAATATTAGTAACATCTAAAGGCTTCCACCTCATCTGCATCATCATCCATTGAATGTATACATCCGAGATCAGATGAACAGAATCAAAAAACTTCAACTCCACTTGCATCATCATATATTGAGTGTATACATACACATGTGTAAGTATACATTCAATAGGTGATGATGCGGATGGGGCTGCATGGGGTGGACCCGATGATTTTATTCTAAAATGGGGTAATTTTTAGAAATTTAATTAAAAATTAAAAAGAATGGAGATATAATATAATAAAATCGAGTAATATTTATTGTAAATAAATGTTGAATGAAAAATAATAATTAAATGAGAAAAAATTAATTTTAGTCCAAATATAATCAAAATTTTGGTTTTAATATAAAAGATTCATCAATCACATAATAAACAATTTCCATCAATTTTTGGTCCAATTATATACCATTTCAATCAATTTTGGTCCAATTATAAAAAAAATTGATTGAAATTCTTTATAATTAGACTAAAATTGAAGAATTTTTTTATATTGTCACGAAAATTGATAAATTTTAGTTATATCGAAACAAAAAATAATTTTTTCCTATTAAATATTATTATTTTTTTACTTTTTCAAATATATTAATTGTGTAAAAATAATATTTTTATTAAGAATTGTATATAATAAATAGTGTTTATATTTCAATTTTAATTAAAAAAAGACAAACACATAAGTTGCGTTTGATTGTAAATTAGAAGACAAAAAAACTGTATACACATATATCACTCGAGGACGTGAAAGGTACAACCAATCTAGACCGTAAATTCTCCCCGCTATCAACGGCCAAGAGTTTCTACAAGCGTAGCTTGATCCTAGTGCTGATTGGCCAATCTATGTAGACTTGGATCAATCCTTCCTCCCCCTTTGGGAAATCTCCACCGTCAGTATCCTTCTTTTGGTTCCAATCTAACGGTTCTTACATATCCTCATTTCCAGGTGAGTCAGAAACTTCCAATTATTCAAACGCTCCCGCTCAGGGAATTCGTACAAGAAACCCTAAATTCCCAAATTCGAAATTCTATATAACTTCCCATCCAAACCACCATCTCCGCCACTGTATTCGTAATCGTCGTCTGATATAGGCAGCAGGTTAAACGATCAATGGCGCGTACGAAGCAGACGGCGAGGAAATCCACCGGCGGAAAAGCACCCAGGAAGCAGCTGGCGACCAAGGCGGCCAGGAAATCCGCACCCGCCACGGGAGGCGTCAAGAAGCCTCATCGATTCAGGCCTGGAACTGTTGCGTTGAGAGAAATCAGGAAGTACCAGAAGAGCACGGAGCTGCTGATTCGGAAGTTGCCTTTCCAGAGGCTTGTACGGGAGATCGCCCAGGATTTTAAGACTGATCTTCGCTTCCAGAGCTCCGCCGTTGCGGCTCTTCAGGAGGCGGCGGAGGCTTATTTGGTCGGTTTGTTTGAGGATACAAATTTATGCGCCATTCATGCCAAGAGGGTAACTATCATGCCCAAGGATATTCAGCTGGCTAGGAGAATTAGGGGTGAGAGAGCTTAAAATTGATCTTAGGTTTTCTGTTTGTCTTGCTCTCTCGTTAATATAAATTGCCAAAATCACTGTAGTTCGGCTTGTATTGGGATGATCGGGTTGTCCATATATCAACCATCTTATGAAATCATTGTTTTGATCATTGGTTGCTATGACGCCATTAATTGTCCAAAGAAGTTATAAAATCCTATGCTGTATTTGCGCTGGTAGTAAAATCTGCTGTAGAACTAATTTTCATGTTAATTAGAATGTAATTATTTTACAGTAGTTTTCTGCCATTATTGAGATCAATACTCTAAGCATGTAGGATCTTGATCATACTTAAGTGTGCAGAAAGAATCTAATGTCACTGTAGTCTTCAGAATTGAGCACATTGCTGTTCTATGATTAGTTTTGTTAACAAGGGAGGGTATGCCAAGAACTTTAGGGAAGCTTCAATCATGAACATGTTAACATTCAATCCCACAAATGAAGTTGAAGAAAGGGTGACCTTTTGAACAGCAAGATGTGGTGTGTGATGATCTTTATTCTTGTTGAAACTCGAAAGCTTGCCACCAGTTCATACCATAAGCTGCTTCTCATTTTTCAGGTATCCGTTATTTATTGCTCCTTTTGTCGCCATTGTCAGTGTTCGATCAAATGTGAACTTTTCTATACCATTGGTTATAATTTATTGCACATCTGCTACTCTGTTGTATTGTAACTCTGCCCAACTGTGCATCTAGCTATTCATGTGCTTGCATAAATTGGCTTTTTGAATCCCCATCGATTGTTATCAGTTCACTTAATCATGATTTAGGCTATTTTCATTAGTTGTATTGATATTCCTACTTCATGAGTGCAATTTTCTATCCTTTAAAACTATGCAAGTAAAAAGTAAATCTGGGTTTTGTTTATTGACCATGTCCTGTTCTTGATTATTTTAAGAAATGCCTTTTGGTTTAGTCAAACTTTGAGCTTACAAACACCATAATTAAGCAGAGAAAAGCATGAAAAGTCGGATTAATCAAACTCTATTCCACTATAGTATAGTCAAATCCGCAAGCATAGCCTATAACGTATAATTATATGTTTTTTTGTTTAACATTTACAATAAGGTTAATCGATTGATCTCTCTCATCAATCAATCCATTGTCAGGTAACACCTCCTGTAAGAAAGCCAAAGAGGACAGAGAAAGAGTGGCAGACAGTAAAGGGGAAGCGGGGAGAGACCCTTAAGAGCAGCAAATAGTTAAAAAGGGACTAAGGCCAGAAGGAATCTTCCATGTTTCCCTGTTCTACAACCATGTCCATGTCGAAAAGGGACCTGGCCGGATGAGATTGCCCGCCTCTGCTGGACGAGGGAGATGCATTATCAGGTGAATTGTTCATCGAGAATTGGCGCATCCTCATGTGCACTACTTCTGCCTGTGCAAGTGCCAGCTGAGTTTGCAGCATTTCTATCTGCTGTTGCAATGACGATATTGCCCCTACGCAGCCGTACACTGGATCCCTTACCCGCGCATTTGCTTCATACACCATGGAACTCACTGCATCCCCTCTCTGATCTTCCGGCAACTCCTGTAAGATCCGAATCTCCCATTATTATATGTTTTTCGTTAATCTAGCAAGTAGAAATCACTAGTGTTAGATTCTAAATTGCGACGAGTGATGATGCCATGCTGACTCAATTTTGACATCAGCATTTTAGAATTCATTACATGTCAGTAGTGTTCGAGCTTCACATCATTTCGTGCTTTGGATTTGCTTTAGCAGTGACAAAAGCATCAAAAGTATATATTGCATTTGAACATGGTCAAGAATCTTTTGATTAAAAGCAGCATTTAATGACATCACATTATCTTTGAAAATTTATTTGGATATTATTTTTTGCATTCACACCACTTTTGTTGTTGTCTGTCTTGATTAGAGATTGCAATAAACTAAAAATCTCGAACATGGTAAGAAACTTGAACTGGATCGATGATGAGGATTACCTGGAGCATCTTGTTGACATTGCTGGCGCCGAAAACCTTATGAACTGTGGCAAACTTGTGGGGCTCTTCTGCGGGGAAATACGGCGCGAACATGCAATCCTCTGCGCATCTCCGCCTGAGGAGCTTACATGCCGCGCAAGGTGAGGCTGCCCCTTGTTTTCGACTACTACTCTCCTTCATCATAATGTGTTTTTATATGTGTGATTGTGTTCTGCTCTCTCTCTCTCTCTCTCTCTTCCTCTCTCTCTCTCTATATATGTTATATATATGTCTTTTTTGTGAGAATTGACACCCAAATATATATAGATGAACCCCAGTCCCACAGTGCTGTTTGCCATTAATAGGGTTTGCTTTTAGGGTTATATCATAACGTACTTGAGCATGCACCATTTTATTTATTTATTTGATAAATAAATAAATAACATGACAAGGACATGTTTGTTTGAAAGAAACAGCGTGGAGAAGAACTTAAAAGGCTTGTAAGAGAAGAGAAAAACATCCATGGATGCTGTAACTGTAATTAAAATCTTTGGATTGGTCCTACATTGGAACAAACTAGATTTTGGTCCTCAAAGTGTTTAGTATTGTCGCCTTTTATATTTCCTCTATTTATATATAGATATAGATATATATATATATATATCTATTTACTGCTCATAATTCAGTTATCCACTTGTGTCTGCAGACTTGGATTTCTTGCAGTAAAGGTTCCATATTTGCGTGTATATGTATCTTACTCTGGCGGCGGCTACAGTCAGCACTGAACAACACATCATGTGCTATTAGACAATACATAATATTATCAGAAACAAAACATTGTATATGTTAATATAATACAAATACACTACTATGAACAACAAACACATGCTATAGTACTGTCTGAGAACACACAATATTATTACAGACAACATATAGTATTACTACAAACAACACATTGTACATGTTAATATAATACAAATATAACACATGAACTAACAGCACAAACATGTGACATATTTGTATATATTACATTTGTTATTTGTGTTATTTGTATATATAATGCGTGCTGATGTTAAAAGTGATAGCAATGCTGATTTTTTAAATTCATTTTGGTAGTTTTGGCAATGAATATTCATATGTTAACGACTGGTCAATTTCAGGAATACGAGAACGGGTGGTTCCATTAAGATTGTGGATTAATTGTACGAACAAACTGTCTTCCTCAGAATTGAAGTCTGCAACTAATTCACTGTAAGAATCATCCCCCCTTTTTATTTCTTCCTCATATAAATCTTTATTATTGAATTAAATTCGAAATTAAATTTAGACAGTGACGGAGATGTGACGCCGTTGCGTTATTATTATTATTATTATTATTATTATTATTAAAGATGCGATTTATTCAAAATCATTAATGATGAAAACGTTTGAATTTCGCACGATAATTGGCGTAAAAAAGAACGTTGGAATCTGCTAACATGAATGAAATTATTATTTTAAATGCAATTGCAAAATTTGATTTGGATTGAATTTATTATTGTAGTACTTCCTCAGTCCATATTTATTTATATATTACTTTTTACATAAAATTTTTAGAAATATTAATATTATATTTGAATAAATTAAAAATAAAAATAAAAAATTAAATTAACTTTAGTATAATATAATATAAAAATAATGACCGTAATATATTACAAATTAAAAAGATATTTGTAATATTAATTGAATAATATAATTACTATAAAAAAAAATATATATATATTTTGTTATGAGAATCAAATAAAAAAATAAATAAATTGCGGCAGTATTAAATTACCAGTAAGTAGATGAAAAAGGAGCGTGAGGGTGTTGACTTAGTTAGTGTAGGCGGGAAGTTGGGCGGTAGTTGTGGAGGTTACATAGTTACGACAATCATTTGTTTTTGACTTTTGACCGTTGTAATAAATGAGCCGGACGGCGCCGGTGGCCACTAATTTAATTTTGTCCCTCAGGCGTGCCCAGGGCTTCCGCACACATTAATTATTATTATTATTTGTTTCCTTTATTATTATTATTATTATTATTATTATTATTATTATTATTTTTTAATTATTTTTCTTTTAAAATTAATTTTTATTTTAATTTACTGCAGTGGAAATGATGCCTTAACTACCAAAACGAAAGACAGTTGAACCATCAGTTCTTCGTATATTTATATATATATATATATGAATATCAGTTTATGTATGTCATATGTGTTGTTGGTTTATAATTATAAGTATATTGTATAACCACATGTGATGTGCTCCAATCAGCTATTATTTATGATGTATAAGACTGTGTTGTTAGTTCATATACTGTATTTGTATTATACGAATACATACGATGTTCTGTCTAAAGTAACACTGTGTGCTGCAATAAATATAGTTCTTTTGTTAGATCTAAAGATAGATAAGGGGGCATCAAACTATGCACAAGGCTAAGTAATGATTAAATTGTTTGACTTGTTGAGTTAATTAGTGATACTATTAATTATATCTTTGAATTATTTTTGTAGAATTCAAATGTTGGTGCAATTTGTGGGACTTCACTGTCCCGTGTTTGTTTGCATGCATGCAGTATATTATATGTATATATAGATATATATGGTATATAAAAAAGTATCCCACATCCAGGGGCATGCCTGGATTTGGGGGCTTGTTTGGGAATCCGTACGAGAATATAAAAAATGGTAGTTTAATTAATTAATTAATTAATTATATTTAAATTTTGATTATTTTTAAATTATTTTATATAATTAAATTAATCATAAATTGTGGTTTATTTTTCTCCCATTAAGTTCATCACATTCAAAATATACCAGAAAAATTGTGATAACCGGTTTTTCTTTTTAATTATAAATACTCTTATATACGGGTTATTAAACATACTGTCAGAAAATTAGAATACACCATCGCTGTTTGAGAGCAAGAGTTTCACAACGTCAACTTAGGTTCCAGGGTCTGACAATATCTTCCTAAGGATTCCAGAGTTCAACAACACTGTCTTCCCATGGTTCCAACCTACTGACTGTTTGCTTGAATAAGAAGATCTAAAGAACAAATTTAATTTTTAGCAATGGCCGGAGATTTGTTTAAATTTCATTATTTGCTTGCGTTAACAATTTCGTAATTATTTCTAACAAAAAAATTAGTCACTAAAATAAATTCTTGATATAATTATGTAAATAAATATTTGAATAACAAATGACAAAAAAATTGGTTTGGATTGGTATGAAAATAATGTTTGATGAGATATTTTGTTAGTAAAATTTTTTCGAAAAACACAGAGTCAAAATAGTTAAATTTGAAGAATCTTTGCTAAAGAAATGTATCCCAAATTTTTTACAATAATAATAATAAAAAAAAGACACCAATTTCCCTCATTTGATTTTGTGTCTTTAAAATTATTTGTTTTACAATCAATTTTTATTTATTTTTATTTTTATTTTTAAAATTCATTATGTTTGAAAATGAGCAAATAAGAACAAAAGGAATGAATTATAAGGAGAGATGGTGGGTGCACCCAATTATCAATTACTATGAATGGTGTACTCGAAGCTAACACACATGCATCTTATCCACTACCATTTTCTTGTTACTTTTCAAGGGCATATTAAGGGTGTGTTTGATTGAAGGATTTTAAAGAATTTTTACTATTCACAAATTATTATTTTTTTAAAAAAATATTAAATTAAATATATATTTTTTATATTATTTTAAAAATTAATTTTACATTCAAATAATCACATTGTACTACTATTTTAATTCAAATTTTTTACTATTCAAATCTCACACTAAATAAATTCTTGAACTGATATAATAGCTTGCAAATCCAGTCGGTTGAAAAAGCCAATAGATAAAAGGGTATAAATCATGTGCTGATGTATGTATTAACAAAGTATTAAATCAGCTGCTGAGATGACGTTCAACACAATGACGAAACTAGCAGTAAATATTCCGAGGGGGGAATTGATTTTTTCTTTTTTTTTTATATCGATTCAATGTTGTTTTTTTTTTTATTCATAATACACTCTGACAAAAAAAAATGAAAAATTAAATATTTTAGAAAAAATTTCAACAAAATTACATAAATTAATACTTTTTTTTATTATAAAAAATAAAATTTAAATACTAAAAATATAAATCCACAAACAGATAAAATTTTTATGACATCAAAAAATATATATATTTTGAGGACTGAGGTGACCTCTAAGCTCCGTGTAGTTCCGTACCTGATCAACAATATTGAATTTAAAAATTCAGCATGCTATCCTAAGTGAGAGATAAAATTCAATCAAGTGATCTTGTAATAAGCATTGTCACCTCTTATCCACTATAAAAATTAATTAAATATAATATATGCATACATGTAGGAAATAATGATGTTGCGAAAAGTGCAGTGTGTGTGCTTAAATGAATTTTTTTATTTTTTTATTTTTTATTTTCTGAAAAAACATAAACATAAAACATGAAAGATGAAGATGAAGGCACAACCAATCATTTCAGGAACCTCATTATTGTTTCTTATACTCCAAGTTTAAGCCATTACATTTAATTTACAAGTAAAGACCATTTTCTATCTTTGTTTATTTTATTTATTTATTAATTAAATATATGTTTGGTCTCATGTGTAACATCCCTTATTGTTTTGGTATTAAATCCATGTCAACATTTAGTAATGAAAATTGTCATATGACTAATCTATGTCAATGCACATAGTAATCGGTTAGATAAAATTCCATTTTTACTGTATATAGTTACAAAACTAAAATGATAACACATTAGAGTCATGAATATAAGAAATTGAAAATATTTATCTTATTATTATCTTTTTAATAGGTTTCATTACACTATTGTTTCTATTATTATTATTATTAAAAAAAAATGGGGTTTAAAAAGAAGGGAAGGCCTTAATTTAGGTGGAAAAGCAAAAGCCCTAAACAAAGATGTGGAATAAAAAGACAAGAATGGGTTTGGTTTGGTCATCACATATCATTTGTAATAATAATAATAATAATAATAATAATAGTTCATTAATCATAATTGTCTTTTTGGTATGAATTGACAAATTTATCATTTATGATAAGATAAAGATTAAAAGTGATAAATAAATAAAAGGTAAAAAATTAAAATTTGTATTTAAAAAAGAAAATAAGACAATAGTTATTAGATGTCCCAAATAAAAAAAACAAAAGACATTAGTTTGTGGAAGGACGTGGGGTATTATATTATTATTAATTCAATAATTCCCCTCCTCCTCCTTACTCCATATAAATAAATACTTAAATAAATAAATAGTACTCCTTCCGTCATGCAAATATGTGCTTTGACCAGATACGAATTTTAATAGCAGTACTTTGGGCAAGGTCCCTACAAAAGAAGATGAAAATGAAAGGCACTAATGAGAAAATTGGGAATTAGAGAGTGGGTTTCTTTTCCTCCTCCACCACACCAATTTTCATTACATCTCACCCTCACAATTCATAAAGAAAGAAACAACTAACTCCACACCAAGCTCGGAAACGAGTAGAGCGAGTTTGAGTATCAATTGTTCGATCTCGACTCAAATTTGTTAACGGTACAGACTCGACTAGTTAAAAATTCGAATCAAAATAGTGGCTGAGTTCAGCTTGTTAGGTTCAAATTCAAACTCAAGCTCGACTTGAATTTTATACATAAATTTTAAAAATTTTGATATAAAAAATTATATATATATATATTATATTAATAAATAAATAATATAAATATATTATTACAAAAGAATTCAATTGAATTACTCAGTGAGTCGAATTTGGCTCGTTTGTAAAAATAATAATTTTTTAGCTCGAACTCGCCTAATTTATTTCTACAAACTAATCGAGTCAAACTATTAATGAGGCGAACCGCGCTTGGCTCGCGAACTATTCAATTAGTCAAACTTTCTATCTATCTATGTGATCGATCAAACAAATCTCAATTATTTATTTATTTAATTAATTAGGTTAATTATTAAGCAGCAGCACTGTTCTGGTAATGCACCACTTTCTCATGCCCACCCCACTAACAGTAAAGTTAATTACTACTGCTTGTCTTCCCTCATTCGTACCGTACGTCATCTGTCTGCCTCTTCACATGTATTTTTCTTCCTTCCTTTTCACACCCGAAACCAAAACCAAACCCTCACATGCCTCCATTCTATTTATTTTAATTTTAATTTTAATTTTAATTCAATTTAATGCTCAGGCTCTCCCCTCCCCTTTAATGGCGGCGGCTGAGGAGATTAACGGTAATCGCGAGATCTGGCGGGAAGCAATCCAAGCAGCTCTCACCAAATCCGTCGAGCTTAGGGCAATCCACAACGCCTTCTTCATGAACACCAATTCCAATTCCAATTCCAGATTACCCTTACCCAGTTTAGCTTCATCTTCCTCCCCTACCGCTGCTTCTGCACACGATTATCCTATTTTCAATCCAGTAAGTTCCCGTTCCTTACATACCCTAAATTAATTAATTAATTAATTTCGAATTTCTTGCTTGTTTGTTTGGTGGGTTGTTAGGTCCAATTAAATATTATTTATTATTATCCCTGCTCGATTCCTTCTTAATTATATATATATATATATATATGTTGCCTGTAAATTAACAGAGTTACGAAGACAAGCCATCGCCAGCGGGCTATCGGAGATACGCTGAAAGTTGGGGTGGATTAGAAGAAACCCTCTTCAAGTTAGCTGATGATCGCCACTCCTTGTCGGGTTTCCGACCGCCGGCGCTGGCGGCGTCCGACGACTGCTCCAAGTGTCGGAGAAATAGTCTAGGGGATGTTAGGTCGGTATCTTCTTACAACAAATGCAGACCGGCTGCATCGGACTACAATTCCGACGGCGGCGGCGCGACGGGGATTGCTCCGGCGGCGTCGAGGAATAAAGGGCTGAGCTTTTCTTGGTTGTTGCCGAAACTGAAGAAAAAAATTAAAAGTGAGAGTTCGCCTCTCTGTCCGCAGACAGTCAATACGGCCGAATTCGAATTAATCGAGTCGTTGAAAAAAAAATTAATCGAAGCGCAACGCTGTCGCGACGATGCATTGATCGAATCCTCCGAGATGAAGTCATCTGTCGAGGAACTTCGTCGAAAATTGGGGATTTTGGAGTTGCATTGCGAAGAGCTGAAGACAGCATTGCGACAAGCCGTCCGGATGAAAGTCTCACCGCGGAGAGACAACTTTTCGATCGTTAAGACAAGAGGGAAATCCATTGATGGAAATCCGGACTATTCGATCCCCGTGAGCGACGAGGCCACAATCGAAGACTTCTTGCATATAGTGTCCGAATCGAGGTTATCCGCGAAGCAATTCTGCAAAGCATTGATCGCTAATATACAAGCAACGGACGAGACTCTAGTCGGCAACTTAAATTCGATCCTCGAGCCGTACAAGCTTTCGATGCATTGCAAGCATTCGAAAGCCGTGTTGTACCATTTGGAAGCCGTCGTAAACCGTTTGCTCTACGAGGACTTCGAGAACGGCGCATTCGAAAGAAACGGCGCTGCGAAGTTCCTCGACCCGGATCAAGAACGACGCAGCAAGCTCCGGGCTTTCGCCGCAACGAGAAACATGAGTCGGAACGACGCGCAGCGGAAAGGGGCTAAGAATTGTGACGGCGGGGGCGACGAATTCGGCAAGTTTTGCGATCGGAAAATGCACAGCGTTGCGGCGGCGTTGGGGTGGACGAGGCCGTGGCTGGAGGAGACACTCGAGGCATTTTTTGCGGCGGTGAAAGGCGTCTGGTTGTTGCATTTGTTGGCGTTTTCTTTCGATCCGCCTTTGCGGATCCTAAGAGTCGGGGAAAACCGCATTTTCGAGAGTCATTACATGGACGACATATTTGCTGATAAGCTAAAGCCGATGGTTCGGTCGAGAACGAAGATTATGGTGATGCCGGGGTTTTTTGTTCATGACAAGGTGCTAAGATGTAAGGTTATTTGTAAATAGAAATCTGTTGTATGAATATGAAGTTTTGGAAGACAAAATATTACTACCTCTGTCCAGCCATAAATTAACAGTGATTTTTTTTTTTTTTTTGTATTTAATCTTTAAATGTTAATTATTATATCAAAAATTTGATACAAATAAAAAAAAAATGACAAAAAGTATATCTATTCGTATCTTATAATACAAATATAATCATATTTTTGGAATAAACTATTCAAATATAAAAATATTTTTAATGTTAAATAGAATGTCTTAAAAACATATGTTTACTTCCTCGCTGGTCGCGGGAAGGAAAAGAAAGTAGTATATTTTTATAAAAGAGAGTGAAATAAGAAAAATATCTTTGGTTTATTACAATGGCCATTTCCCTTATAGTTATCACATTTTTATTTAATACTATGGTATTAAGTGGGCTAATATTATTGTTTAAACCGGCCCAATTTGTAAAGCCCAATAATATCTGATATGGGCTGTCAAAACCAGCTGGAGCATACCTGAGCCCAGCACGCTGATTAGGTTGTAGATAAAGGCTCCTTTACACATATTCTTTAAAGTTATGATATAATACATAATCTATATTATAATACTTCCTCCAACCGCTTTAAGATATTTTTTATATTATTGTATTTAATATTAAAAATATTTTTATATTTGTATAATTATTTTGTACAAATATCCTTCTATTAATATTATAATACACTAATTAAAATATTTTTGTAATTTTTTATTAATTTATACTATATTTTGATATAATAATTAATATTCAAAATCAATATACAAAAAGTAAATAAAACCCTTGAAATCGGACGAATGTAGTATTATATTAATAAATTCTCATTAATTTTATAAAAAATTTAAAATTCTAAATTTTTTATTTAAATAAAAGTTTTGAAATTTTTTATTTTAAAAAATAATATCTCTTCAATTTCAATTCAATATATATATATATTATTATTATAGAAAAAATAATTCATTTATTAATATCAAAATATCTTTAATTTTTATAAAATATATTCATTTATTTGTACTTGAGATGAAAGAAATATTAAAATATATGGCATTCTTCAAATTAAATATCTATTTAGATTGAGATTTTTTGAATGGAGCATTTAATGTTATGTTTTGTAAAAAATTATATTTGATGTATTTTATTTCATTTAATTTTTTTAAAGTTTAGCATTAAAAACTTTAAGAAACATATATTTAATATAGAGCATGAATTTTTCTAAATATATGAATGTCTTTAACATCAAATTAGCCGACAAATTTATTTATCTTTTAAAGAAATATGTGAACGATAATATTTCAATTTGACCCACTCTTAATATCGCCTACATAATTAGATAATACTCTCCATCCGTCCCATGACAAAGTATCTATTTTTCCATTTTAGTTCGTCCCATAACAAACTATTCATTTCTTTTTTTAATAACTGTGCTATGTACCTAACATTACAAATACCCTTACAACTTACAATATATTACACAAATGTCATTACCTTTATATCACACATACTAATAAGGTTATTTTAGTCATTTCTACTTTATTCATACTATATCCCAATATAATACTAATATTTCTAAAACTACGTGCAAAAAGCAAATGGATACTTACTTTGGGACGGAGGGTATATATATATATCTTTTGGTTGTTCTAAGAGCATCTCCAATTAATAGCGCCGGGTTGGTTTATTTGGCGTCGATTGTCTGTAATCGACGCCGAATCTTGCGCCACTTTTTAGCGTTGCTTTATTATTTATTTTTTTATTTTTAATATTTTTAAAATTATAAATTTGATTTTTAAATTTAATTTTTATTTTTTAAAATTTTTAAAAATTTTGTTTTAAATTATAAAAATAAAAAGTTGTTTAAAATAATAGGAAAAATTGAATATTTGAAGGATAATAGTGAAAAATGGAGTTATGGTTGAAGTAAAATTACTGTAGCAATAACATATTTGGAGTTAAAACTGGATAAATGGTATTGATGAGTTGGAGATGACCTAAAGGATCACGAAGGATATATATATATACTCCCTCCGTCCCATATCTATATATCAATTTGCTTTTTGCACGGAGTTTTAGAAATATTAGTATTATATTATGATAAAGTAGAAATAAAGCTAAAAAGATTAAATTAACTCTATTAGTATTGTATGATATAAATGTAATGACATTTGTGTAATATATTGTAAATTGGAAGAGTATTTGTAATGTTAGGTAGATAATTATGGGACGGATCAAAATGGAAAAATGAATAGATTGTTAAGGGACGGAGAAAGTATTATTTATTTTCGAAATGTTATAAGTAACCAGTCATGTTTTTAAATTATATGAATAAAATGAATTGTATAAATGTAAAAGACCAACTCCTATCTATGGATGAGCTGATGTTAGGTTATTCAATTGATTAAATAAAAATTAAATGAATTTATTAAACTATTTTTGTCAATAATATACACATTTTATTTTGAAATTTTACTAAAAGAACATCTACAAGGACAAAACGTATTTAAAAAATTTGTACTCACATGTGAGATCAGTCTATAATTTCAACATGTCCGACTTACAACGCAACGTGCTGAGGTGTTATAATAAATGATTGAATTTATGCAACAATAATTTAATTTATATTTATGATATAAAAATAATATATATATATTTATATATATATATATATATTTAAATTTATAGGTAAAAGTAGCTATTTCAAAATATTTAAAACTCAAATCAGTTTTTACTGTTAAGTAAAAAAAAATTAGCATTTGATAGTTATTTGAATTATGATGTGTTATATTTAATTCAAAATAAAAATAAATTATGTTTTAAATATTATATAAATTATATTTCAATTAAATTATATTCAATATAATTGCGATTTTGCTAATAAAACTTTAGAAAGAGATATATGTAACTTTAATATAGTATGTAACACCATTTATTATTTTGACTCTCGAATTGAAACACATATTGAAATGTTTTATATCCTTAGTTTATTGAACATTTTTTAACTATTTAACCAATCAAACAGCTAATTTAGGTGTTTGGTAAATCAGTTTTTTTTGAATAGTTTTTTGGACCCAAAAACTTAACTTACCTAGCCGTTTTGAAATAGTTTTTTCAGTATAATTTTTTTTATTTGCCCTTAAAAGTTTATTATGTATTTTACACAAATAAATATATTTTGATTATTTATTAATTATATTAGAATATTTTATTATATTATATTTTTTCTTTTATAAATTTAAAATAAGTAATTTATATATATAAATTTAATAAAATGAACACAAAATAGAAAATATAAAAATTAATAATTTATTTCTATATTAAAATTACATTATATAAATTTTATACTAAAAACAAATTAAATAAATTAAATTTATTGAAAATTATAAATATAATGAACTAATCGATAATTAATATAATAAATATATATACAAAAAATTTATTATTTTATATTTTACATCACTGAGATTCCCAATAAAAAAATCTATTTATATTTTTTGATAAAAATATATTATTTTTTAAATTTAACTATAATAAAAATAACTACTACTTCATAATACTTTTACAAATTTCAATAACTAATAACAAAAAATTTCAAACATTCTAAACTCAAAAGAACACAATTGAATATGTTAGAAAAAAATAAAATATAAATATCCTCAATTATCATTTTACGTATAAAAACAACTAATACCAAACAGTTGTTGTACCAAACATTTTAATACAAATAACTAATTGAATCAGTTAGTCAAACCGGCTAACTGAATCAGCTAACGGCTATCGATTAACTGAATCAGCTATCAACTAATTGCCAAATACGCCCATAATCCTTAATCATTAAAAGGATCATTGTACCATAATATTATCACGTGCACTAACATGGGATAATCATATGCTATCTTTTACACTAAATATTAATGTAAATTTTAAGTTCTAAATAAATATAAATAAATATCTTTTAATAAATAAACATAAATATCTTCTAATAAATATAAAAAATTAATTTCTTATTAACATTTAGCTCCAATAATACCTGATGACATTTCAACTACTACGGATTAAGTATAAAATACTTAATATATATGCTTCACATAAATACAAGATATTTATCACTTTGATACAATATATAAAAAAATAATAAATTAGTTAATAAAAAATTATATATATATATATATAATTTTTGAAGAGTAGAATTTAGAAACAAGATATTATTAGTGGGCCTTACTTTAAAGAAGATTTGAGAAATAATTGACATAAAAAATAAAAAAAAATACTATATCCATCCGACTCTATTAGTGTCATATAATACTATTATAATGATATTTGCACAAAAAATTATACAAATATAAAAATATTTTGAATGTTAAATACAATGACGTAAAAGGTAAATGAGACCCTTAGAGCCGGACCGAGAGAGTATTATTGTTAAAATTAAAAACATAATACCAACTTTGAGTTAATTTGTGACCAAACATAGCCAGAATAATTTATCATTAATACTCCATCCTTCTCGGCCCAAAATAACTTTTGAATTTTTATAGTTGATTAAGATATAATATTTTTTTTATTGATTAATGTTAGCATGTAAAATAATTTTGATTTTTATGTATAAATTAATTAGATGTATAATGATATATTTGCAATTGATGAAAAATCATAATTTTTATTAAAATAAAAAATAAATACTTTTGAGTTGAATAAATAGAAATAATGTTTCATTTGTCCTACAAAAATTGTCATTTTCTTCAATTTCTGTCGGTCTTATATAATTTTTATAAAAATCAGATAACAATTTGTCTAAAAAAAAACTATTAAATGAAGGATTAATCAATTATTTATTTATTTATTTTATTCAAAAAAATTATTTAAGATATTTTACATTTTTTATTTGTATAAAAATTACGTAATTTAAGTCTTTATATAGAACCAAACATCAGTTTTGGACAAATAGGGAATTTCGTGCAAACTTACATAAATACAAGAGGATTTCATACCATAAATAAAATATAAGGTGTTTTGTGCATTTTTACTAAAATACAATA